CGGCAACCTGACCATTATTTTCAGGGATGTGGGCTTTAATCCGATTGTTGTATATTGAAAAATTACAAACTGTGTTTACTGGCTATCTGTGAAACTTTGTAGGCCAGAAGCTCATTGAAAAAGACTTTAAATTGTTTGTATCTTTCCCTGTGCGAGAAAGGTTTGATAACAGGAATAATACCTAGCTATCGACAACCTAATGGATGTATCCATATCACATCTGTAAGTGACGGTATATGGAACTCCCGTAGACTTGCAGGTTTTCCGCAATAACACTTACTTTCTACTTTTCGATAATACAAATAATTGATAATATTTCTACGTAATAGGCGTCCTTTAATTGGACGCTGGCAAAGACGTAGAAACTACTAAAATGTCGAAGGTGGGATCAGCCAATAATGCTCGATTACGGGCAAAAATATTGACCGTTTTCCCAAAAGAAGGCCCATCAATAATACAAATTCCGTGAATTCTGATAAAAATTCGACGGTTTATTCTAAAAATGTCTCATGAAAAGCTATAAATATTTCCACCTTCGAATATATACACTTTATGTAAAATGGTACATCATGTGCCTTATCAACAGTAGCACGCTCTATCGTTTTTTTTGCAACATAATACCCTCCTGGTAGAGACCGTTAAATGCTTGCTCGGTGGGGTTTTGGTCGTTGATGTGAATAGTTATCTTACAGTTTTGGGTCACGTACTAAAATAACAGCTTACTATGAGCCTGTGCACTTAATAAGCGAACGTACAGGTGAACTCTCATTTGTTAAGTTCACTTATATCTGAAGGAGGGAAAATATGTCAACTTCCTTAGTTAAGTTAGAATAATAAAATCGTCCGTCCCGTTAATGGCGGAATGGCTAGGAGATGCAGTGCCCATAAAAACGGTTCAAAGTAACAGGACTTTTATTGACTTGAGGTTTCGGATTCTCACTAAAACGCATCATCAGAGAATGACGCAGCTAAGGGAACTGAAGGCGAAAGGAATGCAGTAATTGAAAGGCGCAGTTGACATGCCGCCTCATGCCTAATCCAATATCAAGATCTCACCCCCGTCGCTGGTGGTCGAACATAATGTCATAATGTCTCATTAGTACGAGATGACTACCCCGTTGTCGATTCTTGGCATGAGGATTACGTATTCATCTGGCCCGCAATCACTAAAAAAGTTTGTAAGTAGTCCTCATCTCGCACGTTTCATTAAGCTGTCGAAGTAAAAGCTTATCGCAGAATCTTGACTCGGTAGCTAACTGCGTTCATTCAGATTCACACTCCTTGTTCAGATCGAGGATATATGAGTCCTAGCGAAGGCTTAGTCAGCGTTAACGCTGACAAATGGTGGCATCAGTGCTAGCAGTAGTATTACTACACTTCTTGTTGCGATTTAGCGGATATGAACCCTGTGCTGACTTAAACCGGCGTCAATTCTGATTTACAATACAGACTGAATAGTACCAGTGAACATATCACTCAGCTGCACCCTAATAGTAATATTAGTAACAGCAGTAGTTGTTGTTAGTAGAACGAGCCCTGGCTTCTTAGAATCAGGCTAGACACCTACCATATGTGATTGAGGGTAGACAGTGCCGTAGTAGCCGCGCGAAATCTAATGTCACTAAATATTAAGTTAGGCGGCATTCCTGGCTGGACAAAGCAGCCTACGCCTGATTCTTCCCCGGTCATCTCGACTTTGTCTTGTCACCGGTTAAGGCGGATGAGGGTTTAGAGTCGGGTAGACAGTGGCGCGCCTACTTTCACTTTAATTGGCCGCAGTCACCGTCCCTGCTCTCGGGCATATGGTGGACATCACCGATTACGGTGGTCGAACTCACACACACGGGCCGTGGGACCAGGATTTAGAGGTTTGCTAAACTTTCCAAAATGGTTATATAAGTGAAGTACATCCTCAGCAAGACAGAAGTGTCGAATAAAAAAACATGTCTCACGGCAAGCGTCATCCATTCTCATGGCTCTTAGCCCTGAGACGTTTCTGTTCGATGCAGAAC